CGATGGCAAATCCTCCCTCTTCAAGTTGGCGATCCAACGACCAACCCGTCCGTGGAGGATCAGGAATCAGAAAGGTGGAATAACTCTTTCTTTTTTCACTTTTACCCGATGTATTGTTTCACTATAGCTCTGGTGAATTTCAATGGTGAAGTCCTCTGGAAATCTTCAGTAATTGTTGCTGATCACTTTTACCTGATGTATTAGTAAATAAGTAAGTCATGTTTATTTATATAGCACCTTTCACAGACATAGAGGTCACAAAATGCTTCACAAAATAAAAATACAAATAAAATACATTTATAGTCACAAAAAAAAATGGTCATAAAACAACCCTTATTCTACTAGATTTCAAATGCTTTCTAATTTAGTTTCTAGTTCGCTCTTAAAAACATCAACAGAATAGAATAAGTGGAAAGAAAGAGGAAAATCGTTCCAGAGCGCCGGCACCACCGCCTGAAAGGAGCAATCTCCCCTGGTCCTGTAACGAGTACGAGGGACCATGAACAGGTTCTGGTCCTGAGATCTCAGCCTCCGAGAGGGGTTATGAGGACACAACAAGTCTCTAATGTAGGACGGAACCCTGAAGGGCCCTAAAGGCTGGGAGCCAATGAAGAGTTTTTAGAATCGGCGTAATATGAGCCATTCTGTTTGTACAAGTCAGTGACCTCAATGCAGTTTTAAACCTGCTGAACACGAGACAACTCCTTTTTGGGAGGGAGGTGTTACTATATTTGGGCAAAAAATGGCCGCTCCCTGACTAAGAAAAATATTGTTTTTATGTTTTTTACTGATTAACACTAAATTCATTCAATAACCGTGAACGTATTAGTTTTAGTTATAGATAAAGATCCATTGATTTTTCCGAACTTTTTCTTTACACGTTACAAGTTGCAGGTGAGAATATTTGGCTTTTTATGGCAAGAAGTAATGAATGGAAAAGAAGAACATTTTTCCAGCTCTAGTTTCCCATAACATTTCAAATCCTGTTTATTTTATGATGAGAGCAGCATTTAATAAAGTCATGTTGTTTCTCTCTGAGTTTTAGGTTTTACCGTTTGCAGAGAAACATAGGCTAACAAATCTACTGAGAACTTCATCATAATTTTTATTCAAGGAGGCTCTTCTGCTGTTTTTTTTTTCCTGGTTTGGGTTTAAATTTTTTTTTATTTTTTTTTCCTGGTTTGGGTTTAAAATCCTTGCTGCTACATTTCTAAGGGCTCCTTTACGGGCCCTTTACTTTCCACTGCCTACCGCTTAAGGCTTAAAATTAGATAACTCTAAGCTCTGCGTCCAGTAATCAAGCTGAATAAAGGTTTTAATTAGGTTTACAGAGCAGAACCACGTCATTAATTCACGATTAGGAAACAGCACCTCCTTCCCGACAGTTTCTGGAGAGATTTGTGTTCAGATTTCCAAAAGCAAAGTAAATCAGTTCTTGTTTTCAGTCAAGGATTGAATCAGTTTATTGTCTCTAATATGAAGACAGTATCATCTGAGTTAAAGCATCTTTTCATAGTTTAAAAGGAAAAGTCCCGCCAGCAAAGAATAATCAATGGATCCTTATTAATACATATAACTAATAAATACACAGTGATTTAATGAATTTAGCATTAATCAGTTAAAAAAATAAATAAAAACAGGTGTTACATATAGTAACCCCTCCCTCCTGCCATCTTCCAGCAGTAACGTCACGGTGCGGTAAGCCTAGCGCCATTCTCCCCACTTTACAAGCAAAATCAATGGGAACTACTAGACACATCTGCAATCAACAACAATTATTGAAGATTTCCAGAGGACTTCACCATTGAAATTCACCAGAGCTATAGTGAAACTGACAATGCCCACGTGCATGGCAGCTGGATGCTGGAATACATCGGGTAAAAGTGAAAAAAAAAAAGAGTTATTTCACCTTTCTGATTCCTGATCCTCCATGGACGGGTTGGTCGTTGGATCGCCAACTTGAAGAGGGAGGATTTGCCATCGAAATTCTGGCCAGAGAAAAAACCCGTAATATGTAGCCAACATTTGGAAGAAGAATGTTTTCAAGATGACTTGGATAATAGCGCGTTGTGACAAACACCAGATACAGCACTGGGACTTGATCAACAGCCGATACCACACCGTGACGTCACAAACCAGTAGGTGGCAGTAGTGCTCTTTGACAAACATGGATGCCTCCAGTAAAGCACATTCACATGAAAATTACTCTGAATTAAAAACACTTATTATTGAATAGTATGTAATAATTTCACATTGAAAGTACTTACAGAAGTTTAAATTCTGAATATTAGCAGACTTTTCCTTTAATGGAGCAGATTGTTGAAGTGCGAAATGAAAAAGCCAACCTGCAGTGAGGTCAGAACACTGTGGGTCCAAATACATTTGATTTGGCTTATTTTTAGTAGGCTACTTGGAAACCAGGAGCTCTGATGAAAATGTTAAACAATGTCAAACACACAGCTCTAAGGGATCTTTTGTTCCAATGCTTGGACATGATGGAAACCAGATTGAAAAAGCTTCTGTGTAATTACTGCTCACAGGAAAAATCAATGAGAAAGGACAGGCATCATAATCAAAAAGTCTTTGCGGGTTGGACCGCCGCTCTCTCCTCGTAAGCCGCAGCTGCTCTGACCTTTTAAGCCGTTTATGTCCCTGCATAGATATTGGCATTAAAACTCTTACACCTAAATGAAAGTGGCTGGTAAGCCAACAGCTGTGCTCGCCCAACTGTGCACCTTAGAGGTGAATCATATCATGGTGGATTAGCCTTACCTTAATTTATCGGTGCCAGCTTTGTATCTGGAGACTCTGGCCATCAACAAGGGCAAACAGACAGCGTCCAGCCAGCGCTTCTCATACTTTGGTTCGTTAGCCGAGGGCGAGGGGAGTGATGGAGCCTGTGTGGAACACAGAAACAGTGCAATGAGCTTCAGCTTCCAGTCGGATCCCTGATAGTTGCTCTGCATGGAGAACTGGATCCAGCTCCCTGCAAAGGACCCTGATCTAAAAGGCTTCAGTTTTACTACAGATCAACACTATCAATTACAGGATTAAAACGTTTATTGTAGCATCGGGTCAATATTGAGAAGGACAGAACTGCTGGGTAAATATGGAAGAAAAACGGTCTCATTGGATCTGCCTTTTTTGTACACTGAATTTTTATTTACACATTCAATTTCTTACGATGAATTTTTATCTGGTGAAAGTTGCAAAAAAATCCCCTGCAAAAATATTCACCTGCAAAAACTGAGCTGCAAAAACAATTTAGCTGCAAAAAATTCAGCTGGAAAAAGATTCAGCTGCAAAGAATTTAGCTGGGAAAAAATGAGCTGGAAAAAGATACAGCTGCAAAAAATTCACCTGCAAAAAAATTCACCAGCAAAAGATTCAGCTCAAAAAATGAGCTGCAAAAAAAATTCAGCAGCAAAAGATTAAGCTGAAAAAATTGTGCTGCAAAAAAATCCACTGCAAAAATATTCACCTGCAAAAATATGAGCTGCAAAAAAAATTCAGCTGGAAAAAAATGAGCTCGAAAAAGATTCAGCTGCAAGAAATTAACCAGCAAAAGATTTAGCTGAAAAAAAACGAGCTGCAAAAAATTCTACAAAAAAAAAATTGAGTTTCAAAAAAAGTAACCAGCAAAAAAAACCCACCTGGAATCAGCTCAGTTATTCAAACTCTAATGGTTTTTTAATCATATCTATTTAACAGGAAAAACTTCTCATCAGCTTAATTTAGTCGTGAATAAAGCCAGGCGCAACTGTTGTATCACATGATCAAATTAGCTAATTTCATTGGCAGCTTGACTGCATCGCTTTATTCCTTTGGCTTGAGTTCACAAAAAGGTCGACACATTTTCAGTCGAATTTTTAGCAGGCAAATTTTTACCAGGTAAAAATACTGTGTAAGGAATTCAATGTGTAAAGAACTTCAGTGTTTAAAATTTGCTGTACAAAAAAAGGCAGATTCCAATGAAACTGTTTTTCTTCCATAGTTAAATAATTTAATGAAATAAAGCATAGAAATAAACTTTGCTAAAATGCATTTTGGAGTCACAGGCTGAACTCTTTGGGGTCCTCTGGTCTAAAACGGTATGAATGGAAAATAAACCATTTAATTTTGTCATTGCGATGTTTTAATCCTTCACACCCTGGGGTGGATGGTTTCTATAACCCTTTCTTTTCATAGTTCAGCCGCTTCTTTATTACGCCTCCTCCCATGTGAGGAACATCTGGGTAAAGCTATGTCTCCATGCAGAGTCAGGGATGTGCTTCAGTGGCATCAGTGATGGTTGCAGGACTGAGACTGGAAGAGTGACCCCCAACCGAACTAAAAGGCTTCCAGGCAGGACTTAATGCTCAGCATGGAGGCAGGCTAAGCTGCACCAACGCCTGGAGGGGTGAAGGTTTGCTGCTTGCCTGCTTCTGTGAATAATTGGAAATTGGATTCCAGAGAAGTGCTGGACAGCTGGAAACCCTGAGCTCCGGTTAGTGTGAGAGGCAGAGGAGCCCGTCAGCTATGAAGCTGAGGATCCTAACGGAGCGTCTGGAAGTTGGGTGATGTTTGGAGGATGGAGCACGTTGGAAAACAGGAATAACCTGCTCCCAGGAGCAGCACCATCTTTTCATTCTGGTTAAGAACAAACTCATCGAAGCAGGGGGGTCCATAGAGCAGAGAGGGAAGCTGAAACATGTGAGGTGTAACAAAGAGGAATGGTACTTAATCTTCATTTCAATAAAATAAGACTGGAGCTTCGCCTGAAATCTGACAGCCATGTCAACAGCTTGGTTAAGTGGTGTTTCTTTCAGCGTTAGTCAGGCCTCCGTCTTACTATTTCCTGCATGAATTTTAACTTGTGCAGGTAGAGAGCATATAACTCTGGGTGTGGCGACCCTTCATTGGCCTTCATCCATTTTAAAGGTAGCTTGTTTGTTTTTAAGTCTTTTAACGTTCTTAGTCCTTCTTATTTTTCAGAACTGTGATGCCTTTAAATGCCATCAGATTGGCCCCGTCACACCTCGCCGATTTAGCCAGCGTATGCCCGACGTCCCAGAATCTCCTAAAACGATGAACTTTCTATGTATTTTTTCAATTTTGGGCGTATACATAGAGTATTCATAAAGAACACGGGCAATGCATACCGCACAGCAGCGTAATGCCCATGACAAGTATTAGTTTATACTGACTGGAGGTCGGATGTCTTTAATTTAGCTGCTAGCTGCTGTTTATCGCCCGCCCAAAAAATAAAAAATAACAAGAAAGAAAGAAAGAAAAACCCGAACGAACGAACGAACCAAAGACCCGAACCAACGAACGAACCAAAGACCCGAACCAACGAACAAACGAACGAACCAAAGACCCGAACCAACGAACGAACCAAAGACCCGAACCAACGAACAAACGAACGAACCAAAGACCCGAACGAACGAACGAACCAA